GGTCACTGTGGGGTTCAGGCTTCCCCAGCCGTGTCCTGAGCAGCCCCATGAGGGCTGCACTTTCAACTCGTAGTTGAAAGGACAAAGGCTTGGAGGGACAAGTGCCCCCTCGAGGGACAGGATTTGAACCCAAGTTGTTGGAGGCTGTATGTTTGCCGTCACTCTAACTCTTTGCTGTCCATGCCATCAGACTACAGCTGAGTGCTGAGAGCAAGCCCCAGAAAGGACATTGGTAGGAGGCAAGACCTCCGCCCATCCTGGAGGGGGCGGGGTGCAGGGGGCAGACAGACCAAAATCAGCCAATACATGGGGTAACTCCAGATGATGATGTGTTCCAGGGACAAGATGGCGGCAGTGTAGGAGGCGTGCCCTATGAAGGGTGTCAGTGAGTCACGTTAGCTAGGATGGCCAGAGGAGGCCTCTCTGAGGAAGTGTGCGGTAAGGTGAGACCTGTAGGTGAGACCTGGACAATGAGAAGGAGCCAAAGAATTGAGGGGGAAGGGCATTCTAGACAGTGGGCACAGCAGGTGCAAAGGCCCTGAGGCAAAATTTGCCTGGGGAGTTGTGGGAACAGCAGGGAAGCCTGTGCAGTTGGGGTAGGGTAAGTGAAAAGGGAGAGGTCAATAGAAGGGTCATGCAGAGTCATAATGAGTTTGGCTTTTATTCCTAGAGTGAGAGACATGCTGCCCTGGGTAGAAGGGACCTTGTGTGTGTGTGTGGGGGGGAGGATCTGGGACACCAGTGAGCTGGAGGTGGACCCCCTGACCCCCAGAAAAGGACACCTCTCCTTAGAGCCCGTGTAGTCCTGGACACTAGCCAGGGACCAGCCTCCAAGTGCCAAAGACCACCTGCTCTGCAGACTGCTCACCCAGCTCTCCACTGGGGACAGAAAAGTCCTTCTCCAGGATGGCCCACTTCTGGATCCTCTGTGCGTTGGAGATGGCTTCCTCATTCACGGCATCGATGCCCTCCTGGATGGCCTTGTAGACCAGGGGGTCCTGCAGCTCCAAAATCTCAGAGACGGTGGACACGTGGCTTCCCAGTTGCCGGCAGAAGTTGATGGCCTCCGAGCTTAGCTCGTCCAGTGGCTCTCCAGTTGTCCCGTCCATCTTACACTGCCCCAGGAGACCCTCGTCACCACACCCAGTGACCGCACACGCTTCCTGGCCACCCCTGTGGACCAGGAAGCGGGTCTTGGACCCACAGGGGTGCACCCTCCGGACCCTGGGGCAGAGCCCCCCCCAGGACAGCAAACCCACGTTACCTTCAGTGTCAGCAGGATGCTTAGAAAGTTTGCCTTCTCTCCCACTAACATGGCATGACTGATTATGGGAATCTTCTCTTTAACCATGTTCTCAATGGGAATAGGGGCCACGTTCTCACCGCCGGCTGTGATGAGGATTTCTGGAACAAAGCATGGCTCGGTGAGGTTTCAACAGAGACAGTACAAGAGCCCCGCCCCCTCGAGGATCAGAGGGGACGGATGCTGGCACAGATGACCACCCTCTTAGAAAACCCCAGAAGCAGAGGAGGACCTCTGCCCAGGGCCGGGACTCCCACCATGCCCTTCTCTAGCCCACAGACCCAGCGTCACTCTGCTCCTGTTCCCTCGCCTCCTTGAAATTCCCAGCAAATGTCCGAGTCCTGTGCACAGGACACTTGGACAGCGCTGTATTAATCCATCGCCAGTTTCTTGGTCCTCTGTACCCTGATCCAAGCCCTCCAATGTGTCTTGCTTGGAAGCCAGTGACATGCTTCTGGCTGTGCCCCGTGTCTCTGTCTCCTGGTTTTTCTACCACTTGGCAACCCCCAAAAACCTAAGTCCTTAGGTGGCATCCCTAACTTGGGCAGACCTTAAGAGAACTGCGTCACTTTTATTCCCAGCCGCTCACATTCTCCAGGAGCTCCTCCTCCTGCCCCGGCTATGTTCCCCACTTGCTCTTTCGTCCAAGGATGCCGGCTGCCTCCTGTCCCACCCACCCAAGATCTGTCTTATCTTTCAGCTGTCCGTACCGAGGTTGTTGCGGCAGTAGTAATACTATGATTGTGTGACGGACACCTGTGCTGGTGTTTGCCCGTGACTCATCTTCCGGGTAACCAGCCCTGCTGTTTCCGTAGGGGACTCTTCTCCATCGTGCACGCTTGTGGTTTGGGCCAGGACTGCTAGGATGAGCACGTGGCCAGGTCTGACCAGTCGGCGTATTCCATTCTCTACAGCGATTCATTTCGAAATGGGATCCAGTGAGAGTCAGACCTAAGACTTTTGCTGTCCCTTAGGGTTAGGGTGAGCCTTGACTGTTGGCGGCCATCTTGTCACCAAATGGGAAGAGCCTCTTCCAGAAGGACCCCAACACCAAGGACAGCTCAGTAAGGGAAGGATAATGCCAATTCCTTGTGATGTTGTTTCGGCACCTGGATCCAGCCAGGCCTGAAGTGAGACCTTTTTGGACTTTTCCATTTTTGTGCCAATAGTTTCTCTTTGTCACTCAAACGTATATAAGAAGGGTTTTCTGTTGCCTATCATGGAAATGATGCTAACATAGACCGCTTATTGAATAGTTAACTGCCTGTGTCAGGCTCACTGTCAAATGCTCTCTCAACATCAGAGGTTGGCAAACTATAGACTGTGAGTCCAGTCCAACCTTCCATGTTTTTGTCTGACCATGAGCTAAAAATGGTTTCTATTTATTTTTATTTTGTTTTATTTATTTTTATTTTGTTTT